GGCCAGGTCTCCCCCGGCGGCCTGCGCTGGGGCTTCCGGGACTAGTGCGGCGGGGAAGGGCTTCCACCTGCGCGGCCGTTTTCGCGGAGGGGCTCTCCTTCTGCCCCCCCGCCCCGACGGCCTCCGCGGCTGTCTCCTGGCCTGCCTCGAGAGCTCAGTCCGCCTGCGGTTTCTCTAGCTAAAATGGCATGTGGTTTGGCTTGGCCTGGCCTCGCCGCCCTTTTGTGGCCCTCTGAACACCTCTGAGAGGCTGTGACCCTGCGGGTTTTTTTTGTTTTTTTTTTTGCAGGTCAGGGTGTGTCTGCAGTGACAGGTTTTCTTTTCATTGTGCGTGCTGATATGTGGTAGCTGGCACTGAATTATGTTCATCAGTTAATTACCTGTGGGGTCACAAGGTCCTGCTCTTCCTGGCTACTAAAAGCAGTTATCATCTCGTGTTTCATACAGCCTTGTAGTTCTTGCTGAGGCCTGTGCCTTGGCATATCTAAGCTAGTTGAAGGCCAGCTGCTTGAATGCTCCCACAGAACTTTGATCTGGCACTGCCAGATTGAACAAGTGATGTAAATTCACTTTGTTGCTCACTTAACCCAAGTTAGCTACCATTAGATAAAGCTTTTCCAGTGAAACTATAAGGAAAAGTGGGAGACTTCCTCCAGGGATCCTCCTTACTTTTGAACCTTTTTGTGTTAAAGCCATGGAAACTGTGCACCTCAGACCAGAGACCCCCTGCACTTGTTCAGGGTGGGCAGCCCTGCTGTCATGGATGATGGTCAGTGCTGGTGTAAGGCCCAGTATGGTTCTAGAACTCTTTTCTCCTCTAGCATTAGATTGGGTGGTTTTGTATAATAAGACCTGCGGACGTATACTTGATGGCCAATTGAAGTTCCTTCAGAGAAAGCTTAGAAGAAAATCTGTGACAGAATAAGCTACCCACTTCAAAACCCTTTTCTGAACTTCCGTTTTATCAGTGGCTGGTTTATGCCTTAAACTTGAATGACTTGGGTGCCTCCTTAAAATATATATGATTTATCTAGGAATTAATATTTCCAAATTTCTGAATTTAAAGATATGCCAGTAAAACAGCATACTGGTAATTTTGTGTTTCAGAAAAAAAAACTTAGAAAAAACAATATTTAAAACACATTAAAACCACTGTTTTGACCATCTATTCTTATCTTTAATGGTCCTTTTTATTTAGTATAATCATCCTTTTGAAGATGATTTACTTATTTCCATGGAAACTCTCACTTATGATACACCTGATGGTAAGAATTCCTTAAAGTTTCAATATTTACATGCTGTGTATGTAGTCTTACTGAAGCATGCAACTGTTGACAGTTATATGATGTCTAATTTCAACAAGTACTGAATTTTGTCTATTCAAGTATGTGATTTCATATGTAGACTTTGACATGTGCATATACATATTTGGAAAATTTGTTTATATGCACCATTTTAGTCTACGTGCTGTGTTTTAGATAATAAAAAAAGAATTAGTAGCAAAGCTCAGGAGAAAAATGATTACTGTTTGGATGACTTGTAGGGAATAAATGAAAATGGAAGAGAAGACTGAGGAAAAAGAAGGAATGGGGGTATTAGGAAACTGATATGCATGATTAGATTCTGTAGTTTGAGTTCAGTGTTCTGAAGGCTGCTGTAAAGTGATAAATTTCTAGTATGTCATATGTCAGGGTGGAATGGGTAGATAGTCCTTTCTTTAATATTATACTGAGCGTTCATGTGGCTAGCATAGATCTATATCAGGTTGTGCCATGTCATGGTTTTCCAGTGACTAATTGTAACTGTTAATCTGTTTTAGAGTGGTTGATGCAAGTGGAAAGTTTATTACAAAGAAACTGTTATTCTAAAATAGATTGTTCTAGATATTTTAATGGGAATTGTGACTTAGTAGCATGGTGATGTTACTGGGAGATGAAGTGTTTTCCAAATTTTTCTCCTCACTGAAGTGAGCATTATGATGTATACATTATCTCACTAGTTGTTGTGGTAAAAAGAACTTATTGGATGTACAGAAAAAGTGGTATCACGCTGTCAAGTACTATATAAATGTTACAGCAAACACTGTTAACTTTCTAAAGGCTTTTTCAGACTGGTAAGTTGGCATTTTATAGCAGTTTGTATATGTTATGTGTGTGTGTTTATATAGACAGAAATAAAATGTATACAGCATTGTAAAACTCCATCTTAGATTTTTTTAAAGGCTTGGTTTTGTGTTTGGTTTAGTAACCTCTGGTCACACATTCTGTGAATATAGATCTTAGTCCTTAACTGAGAGCCATAAAGTCTTAACTATAACCTTAACTTTAGATGCCGTGTGTTAAATCAATCTTATTTATTTACTTAAGTAAAATAACTAGCCCCCCTCTCCCCTGCCCTGGGGTTGTAATACTTCTTGGGTTTTAGCTTAATGTTTTTAGGTGGACTCAGGATTTGATTTTTCTGACTTCTCAATTTTAACTTGAATTTATAGTGTTCTCTTGTTTTATTTTTCTGTAAATTTTTATGTTAACAATTCTTTCAGAAACTGTTTAGATTTGATAATATTTTGTTGCTAGGTAATACGTTCTTCCTAAATATTGCATTTGTTAGAAAGCTACTCAGTATAGACTAATAATGTTATATATAAAGCTCTATTTATATTAACCGCTTGTTATTTCTAGGACCAAAACAATGGGGGGAAGTGTCAACTAAAAGCCTTAAAAAATGGAGGAAAGAAGTACTTAAGGTATCTAATACAGTCCTACTATGCAGTCAAAATGTAAAAGCATACCTTTATCTTCTTTGTTTATTGTATATATTTTTATATTTATAAATATATAGAAATATATTCTAATATTTCTGTGCCACTTAATATTTGCAGGAGGTATTAATCAAGTCAATAACTTAGTTTTATGGTAGATTGGTTTTGGCTGTCAGATGAGATAGACCGAAATAGTAGACTGTTTACCTTCTGTCAACACCATTGGTAAATCTGGAAAAAATATATATTAACAAAAAAATGGGGACATGTCCTTGTGGATCTTTTTGGAATATCGCCATTGAAGATAACATGTATTTGAAGTAGAGTGTTCTGGTTCTTATAATCAACTTTTCAGTTCCAAGGGCCTTACTAGTCTAATCTGCAAAACAGTGCCAGATATTAAAGTATCTTTGCAGTCTCAGCACTCAGTGTCTGTATCAGACTAAAACCGTTAGTCTGTTTTGGGCCTGCTATCTGTGTGTTTTCATGCTGAGTATTGATATTAAACAAACAGTGACGACTTTTTGAAGTGAATCATATACTGCAAAACTGCCAAAGACTCCATTGGCTTCTAATAAATGGGTCCTATGCAATAATGTATCATGTTCACTTTGCTGTTTCCGTATGTTAACCTTTTGGTAGAGCAACATTAGTCAACATAGTTATTTTGTAGAAATCAAATATTATTTATTTTGGTTTTAAAATATAACATGCACACATTGCTTCCCTTGGAATCTAGAAATATAATAAAAGATCATTAAAGGTGAAAGTGACACCTATTTTCTTTCCTAAACTCCTCCATATGAACTAAACGGTGAATTTGATCAAGAGCTCAGTGTTGTCTCAAATAGCCATAAAAAGGCAGCCTGCTGCCCCTTCCCCAATATCTATCTAAAAAGCCAAGTTATGTAGCGTTCCTTGACAGCTAACACAGTAGCTGTTCTGAACCCCCCCCCCCCAGGGTGAAAGGATGAAGAGTGAAATTTAGTCTTGGGGAGCAAGAGTGGATTTAGTGGAGAGAGAATAGGGATTGTATCTCACTTTCCCCTCGGCCCGTGGTAATACCATGGGTAGCACGTACTAAGGCTTCCAACGGGAACTGGCTGCACAGCTTTATAATCTGAGTGCATTAAGGACTATGAAATGAATCAGTTCTAGCCTGTCATTTGTGCCGAGGTAGCTATAGCTTACATGCTTTTAGTGATATTTAACAGTATCAATATGGCAAGATGTAAATCCAAGTGAATCATCAGGTAAGCTTTACCATGTATTTGTTACTTTGCTGGTCAGGCCATGGGAAAGCTGAAAAAGATTAAATGGTTATTTAGGAAGTGCTTGATTGTAAAAACATACCAAAGTAAATAAAGGCATCATTTAACATAACCTTACTATTCTAAGGTTCTTATTTTTTTTCTCTTTTTAATTGCAGCATGCTATCGGAGGTCAAAAGAATGCAGGTAAAGTGTTTAAAAAAATAGGTACTATAAATAATCTGTTAAGTCAAGACTCTCTTGGATAAGATCATGTTCTATTTTTAAGTTGAACTCTTCCAGATACTCTCAATTACTACTTACGTTCTTAAGGATTCTGAAAAGTAATTAAAAGTGCTTAAAATGAATAAGTGTGTTATAACCAATGTTGCTGTTGGCATAAGTTGATTAATCAAATCTCCTCTAATCAATTACACGACAGCTTTTTGTTATTGTGCTTGTAACATTTGTCAGATGTTAAGAGAATCTAAAAATCCCAACCCTGATTTATACTGCTGTACATGTGGAAGAACTTGGAACTTGCTAGCTTTTAAAAAATACCAAAAGAAGTGTACATATTTGAAAACGTGGATTAAAAGAATCTCGTGAGGTTCCAAAGCTCGCTATCTAATATTTAGCAAATTATTCTGGTTACCGAATAAATCGGGCTAACTATAGAAAAAGTAGTATACAGTTACTTCATTAAAGATTGAGTATCATGATGGAAGTCAAAGTAAGACTGCACACCCAAGTTTAATTCTAATACTTCTTAATCTTCAGTTGTCAAACTTATCCCTTTTGCATTGTTCTGAAGCTCTCTGTTCTGATAAAATACCTATTTTTACCAGGTGAAATGACAACATCTTATGTGGGGAAAATGATGATGTATAGGAAGAGTATGTTGGGCCTTGTTCTTTCTAGGTTTTGAGGATTTTACCTAATGTGCTGTTTGTATTATGACATGCAGCTGAGAAACTCCTGCTGAAAGTTTGAGGACAAGACAAAACCAAGTCCCTCCCTCTACAGTTGTACCAAAAAATTCAGAATTCAGGTGTATACATTAGACCAGCCTACAAAAGTTAAATATTGAGCTGAGAAATCAGGGTTTGGTACAAAAAAATTCAGATGGTCAGATGCTTGACTGTTAAGTTTCAGGAAAATGTGCTCACAGGTTTGAGCAGTAATAAAATGACTGGGTAGGATCTGCAGTGAAGCTTAGAAAGAAAGTGTGTCTAGCAATTAATTTTTTTTAAAGTTAGAGTATTTGAAGTCTTATGCAAGTCATTTTTTTGCTGTTGTTAATCTCTGGATTTCAACCTAAGGTCTGAATGGCTTAGCACCTATTGAAGGAATTTGCTTCATGGGGTTTCTTTAATGCTGTAAAGCTTGATCTAATTATTTTTTTTACTCTATTGGTCTGCCTTATAGATAAGGAGAATAGCAGAAAAACTTCATAACTGGCATCATTTTTTTTTCTGCTTTTAATATGATTTAAGCAAAGTCTTTAATATTTGGTAATGTTTTAAGCTATCCTGAGAAAGAAATATTTAACTTAATATTGAAGATGGAAGAATACCACCAGTGTTAACTGCTATAAGGAGGAAAAAAAAGAGATTTTTATTTATCTGTGCATGTTTGTATGTACTATAAAAGACAGAATCTCCCGGGTCATGTTCAGTTCCTGTAAATCATTTCTTGCAGTTACTTTTTCATTCGGACCAGAATAGTACATAGAATAAGCATTTCCGCTGGTCAGTGGTGATTTGGTTTTGGGTGGTGGGGTAAGTTACACTAAAAAAAATAAATAAAATAGAAGGACTTACCTACTTCTGCCTACAAATTATTAAAACTAATAAGGAAATTTGACCTAATCCTGTTCCATACTCTTAGATTGTCTTGAAGTGTGTGTTAACGATTAGGTTACACAAACACATGTGCTATTCATCATTAACATTGAAAGTAATTTTATGAGACTCAGATATTTATGTAGTGAAGCTCTTCTCTTTCAATATACTGGTGTTGGTTGTTTAATTCACAATTCTGAATTTTTATTATTCATTTGAATGATATTTGCAAGTTTTCTTTGTTTTGGGTAAAATAGCTGATGCCTGTATTAAGTTTTGCTGGATTAAATAACAGTTCTTTGAGTACTTTTTATATGAAAATTCTCAGTATTGGAGGACCAACTATGTTAAAATTCAAACCCAGAGAACAATTATATTTGTGCCATACATTTACACTTAAAGTACTTCCTTTCCTTGAGCAGAAAGATACTTAAAGGAAAATGTTATCTGTTGTGTTTCATAGATCTTGCTCTGTAGGGATGGTGATAGGAATTTTAATAGGATATCACTCTATTTTTGTGATTTCCTGTGTTCTCAGCTTGGAAAAGTTGGGAAAATGCTTTATTCGACTTAAAATATTACCGATGTATTTTTAGAAGGGAAGCATTAATGTAGCTTGTATTTGCAAAATAACCAAATAAATTCCTACCCTGAGAAATTCACAAGCTGGAATCTGATCCTCTTGATTACATAATGTTCATGATTAACTTTTTATATGGAGTTATATCATTAGCCCGGTGTCCTACTCTTCTTATATAGGTGTATGCATCTTCTAATATCTGCTGTTTTGAGAGGGAGAGGTGTTTTAAGGGAGATGACGATGCTTGTGACATTCTTGTAAGCTAATTAGGAAAATAAGACTAGATGAAACTAGTAAAGATGAATTTGCATATGAGTGGAACACTGTACTTAGAATAGTCATCAGTGGTCTGTGTTCAAACTGAAGGGAAACATGAGAAAAATTTTTCCAGGATCTGTCCTGAGCATGTTATTAGTGCATACTTTCATTAAGTAAGCAATAGAAAAGGGGATATCCTCGATTAGCTTGCAGATAATGCCAAGTGAAAGATATCCTGCTGATGAATTGGGCGGGGGGAAGAAAAACAGAGCTTTTTGTAAAGTGAAAATTTTGTTCATGAAGGCAAGTTCAAATAATAGACTTATGTAAGAATAGTCCGCTGCAGGAGAAGGGTAAAGGCTCATTAAGCAAAACAGTTGTGAAAATAGCACACTCTGCACTAGAAGATGTGCAGTGTATAGTATATAAAACATGCAAAGCAATCTTTCTGCACTGTTCAGCAGTGGTAATGCCTCTGGTGAAGTACTTTGTGCTTTGGATGGTATCTTGGCTAACTGGAAAAAAGGTAAAATAACTAGAGACACAGGTGCATTACACAGGGGAAAAAAAAAAAAGAACGAAAGGAGGCCATTAGGTTAGACATTAGAAAAATTTTCCAAATATAAGCATAAGGAAAGCATGAAATATGTCACCGAGTTAGGCTTCTTCTAGGGATAAGTTAAATATAGTCGTTCCTGCTTTACAGAAGAAGAAAGAATGGACAGCATCTTTAGGTTGCTTTCCACACACTCTCTCAGAGCCCTTAGAAAGCTGACATCTTTAGATATATGCTTGACACTACTAAATCACTGGAAGTATTTACAGGAGGAAGTAGTATTTATGTGCCTGAGTTATATATGATCAAAGTTTTCTCACCATTTAACAAAAGAAAAAAAAATTGCGTCTGATATTTAACATCAATTTATCTGGAGACAGAAATGCAAGAAAAATCTCTGCTTAATAATTTTTAGATAAATATGTGACTTCTTAGACTGCTTTTGAGCACTAAATTTCTTCTACTTCTTATGAAATAGATGAAAAAAATGAAGATTTTTGGGTGGGGCTATCTGTGAAAACAAGCAGACACAGCAAATATGGGAGGTGAAAATATACTGTAAGCCCTCTTGCCAAAACTCATAAGAAAGTTACAATGGATAGATTTGGGGGGTTTTTTCCCATATTCTTGGAGCATTTGTCTTTTTTCCTGTCCTTCTCACCATATGCCTAGAAAGTATACAAAGAACTTACAGTTGCCTTCCTTTTCCATAAATGATACCTCCTGATAAAGGAACAAAATTTTTCTTTTCAGTGTTTTATGGGTTAAGAAGAAAACATATAACAACATGACAGATGTACATCTTAGCAGAATTAGTCTACTTTTTTGACTTGAATGTTGTTCTGTCACTCGTTGTTTGTTCTTCATTTCACTATGTATGTGCTCTTTATTTTTTAATGTTTGTTAAATTTTTCCAGAATAAATAAGAATATATATATATACACAAATGTAGAATTTAAGTTCAAGTAAAATATTGACCTGCAACCTATCAAATTCTAAAAGAATTATTTCTTTCTTCCTATGTGTGCTAGAAATACCAAAGCAACAGACCAGCAGTTTTGAAGATGAGCATTCAAAAGTGCATCAGGTAGGGGACACCACGCTGCATCCACTTCTATAAGTCTCTTTGAGGAAAATACATTTGTGTAGTCACAGCGTAACAGCTAAGAAATTAATTAAGGTCAGGTGATCATGTACCATAGCTATAAAATTAGCTTTTACAGTCTTATTAACTGCAGAATAGAATTACTTTGTTTTCTTTAGGTACTCCTAAGAAGATTAGACTTGTACATTTTTTTAAATGGATGAAAAATATTATTTTGGTTCAGAGTTTAAATGCATCCTTGCAGTTGTTCAAACTTCAGATATCTTATTAAACAACTGATTTTGTATTTCCCTCAGAATGTAATACTTTAGTTGCCTACCTCATTGATATTCTGGATCGTCAAGTTTATTTTCTTCGATAGAAGCAGAGAGAAAATCTGGCTCTGGTGTTTTGGGGGAACTCATAGTTGGGCAGAAATTTCACAGTTAATTTCTTTCTTTTCCTTTTGATGGGAGTGTCTCAAAGAATATTGAAAGACCAGTCTTTGTTTAAATCTGCAGTTGTGTGTGATATTTTCTGGGGTTTTTTTGGCAGGTTCTGTTTTTAAATGTCCGTAATATTCTTTCCTATTATTAGTTGTTGACAGTTGCATTTTTCATTTTTGAAGAGTAATGCATGCATGTAAAAGCGTATGTGAAAGTAAGCTTTGTGTGTTTTTCACATAATTACATGCCCTTCGTTAATAGCTGTGCGTTTCAGCTGAATTCTAGCCTCCATTTACACTTATTTAAATTGAGAAGGAGCAGTTGGACTTAGGTTTTTAAACCATCAAATGTCTTTTTAGTTAGGGCAATATATGTATAACTCTTCTTGTAAACTATGACTTCTAGAATAATTGCTTTTGACACTTGATCTTTTTAAGGAGAAAACATTAAATGTTTCAAGAGTGATGTGGGCGATCTCCCTGGTCAGGCACTCCTAATTGTTTGTTTTGTGTTGGTGATAAATTGTCTCATTTTATTGTTGTAATTTTAACCCTAAATCACTTTTATGATTGATTTAAACAGAGCAATAGCTCTTTAGAATTTTTTTTTTTAACCCCAAAGAACATGACGTTAGGTATGCATGGGCAACCTTTAGAAGAAACTCTGTGTGCATATAAATGAGCTTTTTTACATAGTAGTCTGAGTTCTAGGAAATGGACAAAAACATATATGAAATATTATATGTAGTATTATTTAAAGGTGGCTGTTAAGAAATCAGAAATTTCTGATACGTTGAAACAGAAAGTCCCTAGTACCTACTAGTACCTACTGATAAAGTTGTGCAAATTAAAACTCATCTGTCAACTGTTTTCACAATGATATGTTTTGTTGTGCAATAGCTGCCTTTTCTAGCTTATTTGTCTGAATATAGAAGGGCTGGGCAAAAAAAATCTGTTTTCATCACATCCAAGGAATCAAATGTGAATCAAGACAGCGTATGTACAGATTTATTGGTAAAGATGATGTCATTTAGACACAGTTTGTGGAAGAAACTGTTTTTCTCCCAGAACTTGATGAACTAATGAGAGCAGAAAAATTCTATAGACCAGTTAATATAGCATATGCTACAAAGTCTTAACATTTCTTTCCTGTGCTTTCAAGGTATCTTCTGAGAACTCAGCTGTGGATATGTCTGACATAGGTGGGTTTTTTGATTTACTTTTCAGTTACTTTGGAAAAGATTGCAAATAACTGATTTTCACAATTCTCTAATATAATTCTAATCTGTGTTCTATACTCTTTCAGAAGGTAGAGAATAAGGATAGTCAAAGTGAGTTATTGGTAATACTATCAATGCAATATCCACTCTTCTCTTTAAATCTCAGTTCTGAATTTCTGGTGTGTTGGCTGAAAAGTCAACATGGAATATGTTGAGTTGCCTTTTCTTAATAAGTTGAAAGGAAAGAGGAGAGAAAATTCTGGCATAAGTGGAAATAAACATTTTATTGATAACTGCAAATATGTAAATTAATTTCTAGTGATCTGTTTAAAAACGGTATTGAATTGAGCTGCAGCAATGTTTTCAGAAGATCACCTATCCTTTATTCAATATTTGTACAGTTTCCATAACAGCCTTGTGTCCTACCTGTAAAGTTTTGGTAGTTTGGACCTTGTGTTCCCAAATAATTATGGATAACAATCTCTGACTAAAAACTTATCTAAAACTTATTACTTGAGATAAGATCTTTATATTGAACGTATAAAAGCTTAATATTTTTGCATAAATTAAACTATGACTAGATAATACCGAGCATTTAACTCTAATAATTGAAAGAGCAGTTGCAGCATTGTGGGTAGCTAATGTTTCTGTAGTATAAATTAGATGCTTCATATTCCTCAGAGTAAATACCTATCTGAAGATAGTGAGTTTAGTCTTTCTGTCATTTGAGAGGATAATTTCAAACATCTATATTTGAATGATAAAACAGACTTTTTGCAAATTTAGGAAGTGTGACTTTTCATTGTCTCAGCCTGTGTGATGAAACATATTTCATCATGGAAACAAATTTCAGAAGCATCTGTAGCTTAGTTTCTGTACATGTAGTCTTGTAGGTTTTTTTTCCACTCGTGAGATAAATGAGTGGTACAGTTCAGACTCTGCTGTCCTCATAGCAGAGTACAATGACATGATTGCCCACTCTT